ATACACACATACATGCACACACACAAAAAAAATTCAGTGGCAAAGTTACAAATGCTTGAGCTCCAATATCCCCGCACAAGAAGAGGAAAGGACGTCACAGAGATATAATCAGGACTTTCCTCCCCTTATCAACACCGTGGAACAGGAAGACTGGTCCTCTATTTCCTTCATAATATGTCCTGTTATTTAATTAGCAACTAAGGCTGGTCTTTATTTCTAAATGCTGCCTAAACCCTCTAAATTTGTGGGCTCTCTAAACCTGAAGAAACATCTACATTGTTCACCCAGATTGTCCTACTTTCCAATAAACAAAAGTGGTTTCTTAATACACCATGTGAAATCTAACACCAGCATGTCAGCTATGCCCACTAGATGCCAGCACTTAGCTGACCTTGGCTGATCTTTATTAACCAAGCAAGGTCAGACTTCATAAGAATTTGGATGGGAAGCTGCCTGGATATTCCAGGATAGTAGACTAGAAAAGAAACATACCAGAAAAAGGCAAAAACAGTGTTGTTGCCAGGAAAACTACATGGACGTGTCCTTGAAGTCACCAGAAGCTGAGCCTATCTTGAAGGAGACTTTATCTTTTATATGCTGCATCCCTCTGGTCTCTTCTCAGAACACCACAGAAGAATCTTGAGGATGGAATCACATTTGAGGGACCAGCGAAAGAGGTTCTTCCAACTGATCATTACCCAGGATTATTAGTCTCATATTTATGGGTGTAGATACCAAAATATCATCATTCAGCATGGAATAAGCTATGGAAAGAGGTTTCCATGTTGGTGTTGTAGCAAAGTAGGAAGAAGCCCTTGGCAATCTTTGATTGATGTAAATGCAAACACACTCATTCAGCACCCCCATCATTAGTTGTGTTGCTGTTTAGCAGTTCAATTAAAGCAAGAAGCTGAGCAGATGTAACTGGGCAAAACAAACAGGCAGCTCTGAGTCAGCCTTCATAATTTGGCACGACGTCCCATAAATAAATGCAGTAACTTGTTTAGCATAGTTAAGTAGTTTGCTACTCAAACAGGCCGTGTTTGCATGACATTCGCTTTCAGGAACAGTGAGGATGTGGCAAATTAACTCAATGCCTTTGGAATCTGACACGTTTCGAAAAGAAAAGACCCCTCCCCCTGCCCAGCGCATTATCCTAAATTAAGATTCTGCACTTATTTTCTCTAGGAGTAAATCAGACTAAACCAAAAGGCCGTGATTATTTGGTTTTCATGTTGTTGCTGTCATGCTTGCAGGCTTTGATGAGATAACTTGAATCTGTAGTGCTCTTCATTTTGAGCTGTGACTCTTGTGCTGAACTTTAAGTATGTTGGCATGGGAGAGCATCTATGTTGTCTTTTCTCCTTTAGAGAAGTGTCTCTTGCCAGACATCTCAAACATTATTCTGGAATATAATTAAATTCCCATCTACCTCTTAGACACCCTTCAGATTTCAATCAACAGAAGTGTATATGACTGTGAGGGTCTCTGGATCTGGGATGTGGATATGTGAGGCCTCTTGAAGTATGTTTTTCATAGGTATTCATGTGCAATCTTCAACATGCCTCCTGTCTTTTACTTCATTAAAACTTTTGATGCCTCTATTACCTCTCTGCTTTCTGTGCTAATAGAGACCAAGCAATAGAGTTAAAGCTACTTCTTTCTGTGCTTTTTGAAGTTTTTTATTTTTATTTATGTCATACTGTGTGGGGCTACGTACCTCTGAATTCTATTTGATCTGACTGTAGTTGGCTTTCCCCCATCTCAGCAAGCCATCTGTATCTTAGTTTTCCTGTTAGGTTTGCCTGTCAGCCCTGCAGACATGGGCTAAGCATACTGAACCTTGAGGCTGTACCTCTGATCTGGAAGGGGTTTTCAATGGTGGGGTTTTCGTTTTCGTTTTTTTCCCCCCAACATTCCAGCAAACATCCCGGTTAATATTTCCCAAGTCTGTAAGCCAGGGGTGCAGAACCTGTAGCCCGTGAACTGCCAAACACTGTCACTGAACTGTAATTTGTAAGAAATTAAAAGGAAAAATTATCAAATATCAATAACTACTTGGTTTAATTTTTATTTTTTTTAATTATTTTTTTTAATTAATTATATTTAGTTTTAGCAGAGTGTACTTTACCACTGGTAACTCTCCGTCTGGGTTCAGCTCACTTTTTGGGATTTCTGAACCTGGTAGGCCACTCAAATGAACATCCGTGAGCCCCAAAATGGGTTTGCACCATTTCTATAAACAAATGAGATGACTTAGAGATCAGCTATGGATGCTCTGCATGTTACTGTCTAGTTCTCATTCGAAAAAAGAAAAGCTTACTCAGAGCATGTATTAGGAGTTCACAAAACGGGTTCTGTTGGCAAAAAATGTACACAAAACAATGTGCACATTTGGTAAAATGTGTCCAGAAATTTTATGTTACAAAGAACTCACTTAAAAATGTGTAAACACTTTTGTTTGTTTCTATGTGTATGTGTGATGTGGGTGTGGGTATATGTGTGTTTAAAAAGAAACTTATAAACACATGTGGAAGTGGGAGGGAAGGAATTTAAGAATGGAAAAACAAGAAATCACACAGAATTAAAATTGACAGGTTCACCATTCCAAACAGTGAAGTTGCTTTTCTAAAGAACTTTGAGCAGGAATGTTTTCTTCTGCCCTGAACTGAGGTGACCTGATTTGTCATGTTCATTTGATTTATAGTTGGCACCTGAACTACCAATATTTGAAAAATAGTTGGTTGTGTTAAAAATGGGCGGGTGACCCCACTTTCAGAGAAGCTTAATGAGGAATTTTTGACAAATTAAAAGCTTTGTTGATGTCCTGCCAACAGGGTAGAAGACTCAGAGGCACATCATTCTCCTTTCATTCCTATTTTAGAGGAACCCAACTGATGGCATCTTGTATAGCACAGACACACATGCATGCTTGTTTGCTTGTTTATGTAATAAATTTATATTCCACCTTGCTGTCAACACAACACTCAAGGCTTGCAGCAATAACGAACGGAGATTACAAAACTGAAGAACAAAAACAGTACAATTAAGGTCTAGGCAAAATTAAAATCAATATTGTTAGAAACAGTTCAACTCAATCATCTGATACAAACTTCTTAGCAGTAGAAGAAGTAGTTTGTAAGGTAACCAGGATATGATCAGGCAGTTGCTAAGCACTACAAATCTGCAACAGAAAATTGGCTAGATAATGCTAAATGGCTAGGAAATTCTAGCAGGATTGCTTTGAAATTGCAGCTGAATTGAACTGAAAACAGGTTGCTTTATGGATTTGTTGTGGAACAGCACTGAAGGGGATTCATCTTCCCCAGTCAATGTTACAAATAGTTGTTTAAGTGAGAAGACTGAGAATTCTCTGCTACAAAATCCATGATTACCTTTTTTTCCAAAATCACAAGTTTCTCAAGATTCTAGCTGAAGTCAGAAGTAGTTGCAAAGACGTGCATTTTTAAAATTTAATTTTTATTGTACTGCAGTAGAGCCATCACATATGAACTTCTGGGGGCAGTGGATAAATTTGGAATTTCAAGAGTGTGTTGTGAATTCTTTCTCAAAATGGCAGCCATAGAGAGGGCTTACCTCTTCAGAAAATGACTACCATCACTGCTGAAGTTAATCACCAAGCATCCATTAGCCAAACTAAAGGAATAAGTTTACTTCATTCTTTTCCTTGTACTCCATTCTTCTAGTCTTCATTTGGAAGTGAGCACATTTCTAAGTAATCACTGGGTTGTAGTCACATACTCTTTTTAATTAACTGAGAGTGGCCAGTTCTTGGAAATAAATATAAAATTTGTGTAGCAGGATGTCATGAGGAAACCCACTGAAAGCCAATGGAGGTGTCCACTGTTATACATGGAGGGTTTGGTTACTGAGGTGGATGCTAGATAAATTCTACTGATTTCCCATTAGTTCTGGGCTGCAAAAAAGTATCCAACCCAAGAGGACAGCAAAGATTAGAGGTTTCTTGCATTTTGTGGGACATCAAATGGCTGTTTGGATCTTTCCTGATCAGATTGAATAGATCCATCTCAGTAGCCAAAGTTCTGTCTATTTGTTTAATGGAAACATGGTACAAAATGCTTAGGTGGAAAAGGAAGTGGGATTTGAACATATAATACTGTAGCATTCTCTTAAAACATTCGAAGTACTAAAGATTTAAGGGCAAAATGCTTTTGCACTGCCTGAATTTCTTGATCACTCTCATGGCAAGAGAACTTTGATGAAAAGGCAGAAATTCAGCCCTGTAGAATGTGGCATTTATTTGTTCTGTTCACATGTGCAATCTTCAATGCAATATTTTCCATCTATATTTTATTCTTTTAAGAATTCTTCTGTTTACTTGTAACTCTTGGATTTCTTTTTTAATTTTTAATAATACTCCTCTCTTCCAGACTAGGCATGTGTCTGGTAATTTCTCCCCCATTCTGTAGCAAGAATCAACAAACGTCCCATGCTGGTTTTATACTTTTCAAAACTTTGAGGCCAAAGTTTAGTATAAGAACTGCAGTGAGGCTGTTTTGAAGATGTCTCTGTTCTTCATAGCTTCCCAGCTACAAAATGTACTTTCTCAGCAGGTTCACCTGGCTTCTGCTCTCTCAGGGTTTAGACATTGGCAGAAATGCTTTTCTTGTGCCAAGGTTTTACTCCTGATTTTGTAGATAATTTTAATCACAGTTCTTTATATGTATTCTGTTTATACTTTAACATTATGCTAGTTGCCTTGAGTGCTCACTAGAGCAGTAAGGGGGAACGTAAATCAAATCAACAAATATTGATTTCAGATTTCGGTGCACGTCCACAAGAGAGAAAATTAGACATTGTGTATAAGTTACACCAGCATTGCCTATACGTTAGTCAATATAAAAAATCATTTGGTTGGAGAGCACGGATGTACCTAATTGTCTTCAATCCTCTCTTTCTGTTTTCTCCCAGCACTTACAGAATCCCGCCAACTTCCACAATGCAGCTACCGAACTTCTGGATTGGTGTGGAGATCCAAGAGCGTTCCAGAGGCCCTTTGAGCAGAGTCTTATGGGCTGTTTGACGGTACGACAACTCTATTCAGCCGCACAATATTTTTTTTCAATTGAACTTCAAATTGCAACCTAGCAAAAAATGAAGGGATTGCTCCCAGTCTTGCAGAGAAATCACCAGCCTACTGAAATACAGTTATTAGTCCATTTGTTTATATATACCTGTGTCAATCTTGTGGTTTAAAAGAAAGAAAAAGAGGAACTTTGGTTAAGCTATTGTGCCTCGTCATTCTGAAACCATCCTTACTCACTTTGTGTGAAATAGCTGGCAGCTATTTACAAGCCAGTTTTAGTAATACACACTCTGTTGTCTTAACTTTAAATGGAAGTACTCTTTTCTTAACCACACTTGAATGCAGTCGCTAACAATTTCATGCTTCTTTCAAATTTTTGAATGGTATTTGTTTTGTACTAGAATTATGCTAACTGTTTTGAATTTGAAACAGTTGTTTCCTGTTCAAGATGGGCTTTCTGAGTTTACAGGAAATGTACAAACTTAAAATGCCCTGTTTTGAGCTCACAACCTGTGTTCTGAACCTGAGGTTGGGTTATTTCAATCTTGCCCCCTTTCAGAAAAGAATGAAGCAGTGTTGCAACAACTCCTGTGATGTTGGAACAGCCTCCTTTGAACCTGGAAAAGGGTATCTCGATCTTGAAGCGTTTTAAAAAGGAACTGTTTAGCCCATCGCTTTTAGAAAACAGATTGCCATTGTGTGACTTCCAAAACTTGAATGTTTGCTGGGAGCCATAAATATGTGTTAAGAAGCAAGAAAGAGGGAGAAAGTAGATGAGCTGGAAAAAAGGGATAGGGCAGAATTGGGGTTATGAAAAGTATATTTGGAGAAGAGAGAAAAGGAGAGATGGGGACGATATAGATATGCATATCTAGATATACAGAGAAATTAAGGGTGTCTCTCTCTCTCTCTCTCTCTCTCTCTCTCTGACTGGCCATACAATGTGTCTGTGGCTTCAAATGATTGGGGATTAAATAACCAATTGGAAGGAAACTAGTACTTTGCAAAGGTACACACTCACGCATAGATAGCTTCTCAGAGGAATGCCAGGTGAATAATTAAGAGGAAATTCATCACTCATTGCTTCGCAGACATTCTGTACAGAAAGCAATAACATGAGAACTTGCAAAAAGAAAACTATAAATATTGTGCATGCCATTAGTGACTTTATGCAAAATGGTGCTAGCTTATGTGTTGTGTGAAACTCTGTTTTAATTGGCCAGATTATTGGAGGAAAAGAAAAACAATATCTGAGCATTCCTAAAAGCTTCTATTTTGGAGGCAGTTCTGATTTACATTCTTCCTAGTATGAGGGCTCTCAGATGTACTGGGGGGAGGCATTAAAAAAAAAAAATGATTGGCATGCTTTCGCTCTGGATCAAAATATAAGATGGAAAACAGTCTGTATTGCAGTAACACTGTTGATCATGTGAATAGATATTCTCTTCTTCAAACCGTGTCCAGGAAAGTGGAGAACTTTGGTTCTGAGGAATAGGAACAAAGGATTGTGTCAGGACTTCTCCTTTGAAACATCATTTAAAATGGAATACTGTAGATATACACATCTGCCTGAGAAACATTCCTATTTAATCTTCAACACCTAACTCATGTCTATTTTGAATTATTCTTTCTCCAGATCAATTTATTCTGAAAATTCCCTGATCTCTCCATTTGATCCCCCAAAGAGTAAATTACCACCCACTCTATATTATCTTAATTTAAATGTTCATATTATTGTATTTAAAATATCCTTCTTTTCTGTTGTTTTTAGTGTTGCTGAGTTTTTAACTTTCTTAGTTTTTCAAAATTTTCTCTGATCGTCTGCTACTTTTCTGCATTAGTTCAAGTGTTCAGAAATACCTACCGGTAAAACCACTTGAGTTAGCAGCCAATAACTGACAAATTAGTAAAACTGAATACCTCCAAAAAATCATTCACTCAGTTTTGAACTTTACATACTTCTCAATCTGCAGTCATTACCCTTTTAGTCCAGATGAAATGATTCTCCTTCATCTGAACCCTCGTTAGAAAGAAAAGCATACATTCCACCCTACCTGCCAAATTCCTATCCTGGTTAGCAATTAATTTTTAATAGGAAACCATAATTTCAATGGTGCAAAGGCCAGCTAAGTTGTCTATGTCATTTGATTCACTCTCATTCATACTAAAGAAAGATATCTCACTCACTCTCTTTCCTAGAATGAAAGAAAACCAAATAACTGTCCTTCTCACTTTGCATGGTATCTTAATGAGTCACCTGGTATCTTCATCAGAAGGTTAACATATATTGTTTGCCTGATCTTCCTTCATACCAGACAAAGAGTGGTTAAAGAGCTCTTTCTTTCTACAGACTTGCAAGTCAACAGACAAGATGTATGAAAAATGAAGAAGAGTCTTTAAGAACACCAGAGTAGCTCTGCTGGATTAGACCCATCAGCATTTTGCTTCCTACAACATCCAACCAGATAACTGTCCTCTGGTTGTTATATAGAGGCGTGTTGCCCCAACCCCAAAGTAACATTGAGTCTTATCAGTTGCCCTTGATAGACATTTCCTCCATGACCGTATCAATTCCTTGTTGAAAGCTATTCTATCATTACCTCTTGTGGAAATTAATTCCAGAGGTTAATTCCACACTCTGTGAAGAAGAATTTTCATTCATCTGTTCTAGATCTCCTTCCAGTTAGCTGGTTGACCCTTGGTTCTAGTGCTTGGAGAAAAGGAGAAAAACTTCTCCTTGTGCACTTTCTCCAAATCAAGCATGATTTATAGCCCTTGATCATGTTGGATTTTTTCCAAGCTAAAGACTCCCCAGCATTCTAGCCTTGTCTTTTAGAGAAGACATGTGAACTCCCTGATCATCAGGGTTGTCCCTCAGTACTTTTCCCATCTCTGTCCTTTTTCAGATTTGGCTGTACACAGACAAGAACTGTATGCAGAATTCTAGCTGAGGCATTCCATGCTATTGTGCTCAGAGACTATGCTGAGGTCAGATCTGGCTCCTGAGCTGCCAGTTGTCTTTCTCTGCCTTAATGCTAAAGTCAGTCCTCCTCAGAGTATAAAATAATGAGAGCAAATGGAACATTCTTTTAGCAACTGTTTTCAGTGTCCTCTCTGCTGAAATAATTGATTTAGAATACAACACATTGGCTGTGAATATAATGTGATTCATTTACGGTAGAAGGCAGCAAAGTAGTTCAGTGACAGAGAAATAGTTTGCATGCAGAATGCCTCTGGTTTGATTCCTGCAATTTTAAGGTTGGTTTGAGAAATTTCCCTCTATGAATCTCTGAAGAGCCAGCTCTGGCCCGCATAGGAAACATGAGCTAACTGAATCAATAGCAGCTTTCTCTACGCCTGAAACGATAATATTAGAGTTTATTCATTTATGAAGCAATGTCTTCCCTGCATATTTTGCTCCCTTCTGTCTTCTGCCATGTACTAGTCATGTATAAACTAGCATTATTCTACTAGTTGAATCTTTCTTCAACAGCATGAGATTGTTTCTATTGTACCTGAAGATACCAGGGTAATTTAGGGTGCACACAAACAGCTTTCTCTTCCAGTTCTTTGCTGCTTTCTCTCAATACTTCCTGTCTTAGGTGACTCCTTACTTTGCCTAATAGTAAGGCTAGCTCTGCTATAGAAGAAAGAAATGCATTTTTTAATTTTTTTCATTATTACTACTACTACTACTACTACCACTACTACTGTAGCAGCATGATTTTTGTAGGGCAAACGAACTTTGAGTAAACCATGGAATGAGTTCTCATTTTCATTCTTGAGAGTTAGCAGGAATGTAAAGCTGTTTCCTTGCTTTCTATCCCCAGCTATAATGTTGGGAGAAAGCATTTCCTAAATGTGAAATATTGCTAATTATCTCGTAGCCTGCACGTAATGGTAGTCCTAGGATAAAAATCAGAAGAGTCAATGGGAAGTGTTTTATTCAATGCAGAAAAAAGTCTGTTGACTGGGAACCAAAATATAAGGAGCAATGCAAAAACAGATAGATGAAGACATCACATAGTACAGAAAATGATTTAAATATGATAGAAGTGACTAAGGAAGAAAAGACACAAACAATAGTTTTAAAAAGTAGAATTGCTTCTTTGATCCACCAACTGTAACACTGCTGATGCTACAAATCTTTTCTGATCTCTCCATTATGGATTAAAATTATCTATTTCATGTATATGCTTCCCATTGCTCTTATGACATAAGATCATATGGGTAAAATCAATGACTTAGCTCCTCCCACTCTAGTGTTCTCTCCTATAAGTTAGAGTCAATAATTATGTTACCAGAGAAGTGAGGGAGGAATACTCCCAGCAGTCATTCACATGATATCAAAAAACATCCTAGGGAGCTTCCCACTTGCATTGTGCGTGCCTGATCTGTGTGTCACTTCATATGTGTGTTGGAGAATAGAGGAAAAGTCACAAGTCCCCACTGCTTGTGACTTTGAGTGAAACAAGACCAACCTGCAGATAGCTGTTCCTGCCCACAGTCAAACTGCATGTCTTTTTCCTCTTTATCAATGCTATTCATTTCCTCCATGTTAGTTCTTCCAGCCTTCCCCTACTTTGTCTCCTTGCCACATTTTCTCTCTGTTCTGCCCCAGTATCTGGTTAGCACTCTTCCCAGTATCTGCCTAGAACTAACCCTTAGAACTGAACTGTTCTAGTCTAGTCTAGTCTAGTCTATCAAAAAATCATAGGACCGACATTTCTCGGCAAGAAAAAGGAGATTTTTTTTTTAAGGAGCTTGTGTTTGGGTTGAGTGGTAGTTGGTAGAGGAAAGAACTAGATCTGGTTTGGTTTAGGGAGAATTTTTTATCCATCCACTTCCAACTGACGAAAGGGCTGATTGCTATAGAGTACATTTTGTATTTAAGCATACATGTTGGGATGTTTTCCTTATTAATATATACACTATTCCCTTAAGTTTATATTTGCCTGCATAACCATGCTGTGCATTCATATCATATTCTTCATGACTGATATGCTCTTTGAAAACTAGACCTTTGAGTATCACATCAAAAGCTAACCTGACTACCAGGTTTTTTAACTATATTCACAAAGACAAAAGTAAAAAAAGGAAGAGGAATCTCCTGTTTTGTACAAGGAGGAGGAAGCCACAAGTAAAAGAGGGTGGAACCCTCTCCATCAAAAAGACACTTCCAGGTACTCTTGGTTGGTATCTGGTGGGCAAGAGTTCAAATCAGAGTTCACCCATCCATTTGTCTTTCCAGCAAGGAGAGATGGTATCTCACTTGTGTTGTGGGCTTGGATAGTAATTTTCAACTATCTACCCACAGGAAAGCCTCTCCAGTTGAGTTTCTTTGCTAAAGCTTGGATTCATGGAATCTGCAAGTTACAGGGAAAATGGGGACATATGCATTAAGTTCATGCAGGATACTGGCCAGGTGACCTTATTCTTAGTCCTCCATAGACCGTATCTGTACTGGGATTCAATCAATACTCTCCCTTCTACTTTGCATTTAGTGTGTATTATGAATAATGAGATTACACTCATGTAGCCTTGTTGAGAGTAAGAACAGGTATGCAGCGTCTGGGAAATTTTTCCCAACTTTTTCTGTCCAAGAAAAATAAGATACAAGAAGCCCAAACCTGAGGCTGAACATTTATGCCATCTCTTTCAAATCACATCTGCTGCAATGTCTGTAATGATTGGTAGATCGTCTGGAAACTAAATCTGATATAAAAGTAAAGAATAAAGAGTTTTGTAATACCTTAAAGACTAGTGAATCTGGTTGTCTGATGAATAAACTTCAGAAAATGATTGATTTACCTCTATTGGTAGTCTACATGGAGACTTTTAATATAGAATTACTATTGCTTCCAGTTTTCCTTGCAAATACTTAACCCCTAGTTTTTAAACTGCAATAAATCACCCATCCAACTCAGTATCCTATGCACTGTAATATTTTATCATTAATTATGAAAAAGTGAACAGTGCGAGGTACTTTGGATTAAGAAGAATT